AAATCAAACGGTGGGTTCACCGTGTCATGCAAGTGTATCAAAATTTGATATGTTTTGTTATTATTATTTTATGGCCAGAGAGGCAGAGAGATACTTTTACGATTTTCTGTTTCATATGCGAAAATATCTCGGTTGCCCTGGTATGCTCTGCATTTTGCACAGAACATGAAGGGGTGCTATTCGCTGCTTTGCCTTTGGCATTAAAAAAATATATTGGGCTACCTCATATGAGTCTGAACAGTCTAATCCCCTTTTCCTGAAACGAACACAGGGCTTTGTCCCTTCAGACCATTTCAGGTAGTGGAGCACTATTGTTAACTAACATGGATACAGGCCTATTTGTGACATTTTAGCTGAATTGTCTACTTTTGCAAAAAGAAGGAAGAAGACAAGGCCTCACACAAGGGGCAAAATAAAAGTAAGGCTATATTGCCTTATGGCAGAATGGGCAAACCCAGGCCCACAGGTCTCCTATGCCCCCCCAAGACCCCACCTCATATGGAGAAGAAATGGTTAGTCACAGCCCAGGGAAGGTCAATTTTAGCCATTTAAATGCTTCTCTAACTCTGGTTTCTCTTCAGATCGTGTAAACCATCCTCTAAGTCACTGGTTCTTAACCTTGGGTTACTCAGGAGTTTTGGACTGCAACTCCCAGAAGCCTTCACCACCAACTGTGCTGGCTGGGGTTTCTGGGAGTTGCAGTTCAAAAACATCCGAGTAACAAAGGTTAAGAACCACTGCTCTAAGTCATGGAGGCCTGTTTAAAACTCCCACCTAGTCTTTTAAAGCTGCCCACTTGCTGATATGCACTAAAACAAGACTGTGATGTCTGAAATAGTCCTCAGAGGGCCAAACTGTGTTCCCTGGATGTTTCTGGGGGGCATGATTTGCTATTTTTTGCACAGAAAAAAAATCTTAGCAAAGGTAGCGTTGGGGCTGCAACATAATGATAGTTGTATAGGCCAAGAATGCCCCCCCCCCGGTTGTTCCAAAGTGGCTCCCACCTACCTTAATTGAAGAAGATCTTCCAGAGGTACTACAAAAAGGCAGTGATCATTTTCATTAAAACAAAGTATGGTCGGCTTCTTCTTCCTCAGCGTACACAAGCAAACAGGAAGCTGCCATACACTCAGTCAGATCAGTACTTGTTGACACTGCCTGGCAGAGGCTGTCTAGAATTGCAGGCAGGATTCTTTGTATGTTGATCTGGATATGCCAGAGAGGGAAGCTGGAATCCTTTGCAGAATTTGGCCAGTGTAAATGGGAGGGGATTTTCTTTGAGTTTGGGCTCGAAAAGAATTTCCAAATGTCTTTGTATGCAAAACAGAGAAAAGTTTATATGTAATAAAAATTCAATGTCGTACCAAATGAAACCAGCAGATATGTATACTGTTAACTTCTCTGGATTGCTGCCTTTCCCCTTCATGGATTGCTGCCTTGTTGTGGTGAAGAGGCTTGAGTAATTCAGAGAAGCTATGAGCTATGCTGTGCAAGGACACCCAAGACGGACAGGTCATAGTAGAGAGATCTGATTAAATACAATCCAACTGGAGCAGGAACTGGCAAGCCATTCCAGTATCTTTGCCAAGAAAACTCCATGGACAGAAACAAAAGGCTAAAAGATATGACAATGGCAGATGAGCCCCTCAGGTTGGAAGGCATCCGATGCTACTGAGGAAGAGTGGAGGACAAGTACAAGTAGTTAAAGAGCTAATGAAGCAAATAGGCTCAAGCCGAAAGGAGGCTCAGCTGTGGATGCGCCTGGAAGTGAAAGGAAAGTCCGATGCTGCAAAGAAAAATACTGCATAGGAACCTGGAAGGTAGGATCTATGAACCTTGGTAAGCTGCATGTAGTCAAACAGGAGATGGCAAGAATAAACATTGATATCCTGGGCATCAGTGAACTAAAATGGACGGGAATGGGCAAATTCAATTCAAACAATTATCATATCTACTACTGTGCGCAAGAATTCTGTAGAAGAAATGGAGTAGCCCTCATAGTCAACAAAAGAGTGGGAAAAGCTGTACTGGAATACAATCTCAAAAATGATAGAATGATTTCAATATGAATACAAGGCAGACCTTTCAACATCACAGTCATCCAAGCTTATGCACCAACCGCCCATGCTGAAGAGGCTGAAACTGACCAATTCTATGAAGATTTACAACACCTTCTAGAACTGACACCAAAGAAAAATGTTCTTGTCATTCTAGGGGACAGGAATGCTAAAGTAGGGAGTAAGAGATAAAAGGAACAACAGGTAAATTTGGCCTAGGAGTTCAAAATGAAGCAGGGCAAAGGCTAATAGAGTTTTGTTAAGAGAACAAGCTGGTCATCACAAACACTGTTTTCGAACAACAAAAGAGGCATCTCTACACATGGACATCACCAGATGGGCAATACCAAAATCAGATTGATTATGTTCTCTGCAGCCAAAGATAGAAAAACTCTATACAGTCAGCAAAAAGAAGGCCTGGAGCTGATTGTGGCTCTGATCAGCTTCTTATAGCAAAACTGAAACTTAAACTGAAGAAAGTAGGAAAAACCATTGGGCTAGTCAGGTATAATTTAAACCAAATCCCTTATGAGTACACAGTGGAAGTGAAGAACAGATTTAAGGAACTAGATTTGGAGGACAGAGTGCCTGAAGAACTATGGATGGAGACTCGTAGTATTGTACAGGAGGTAGCGACCAAAACCATCCCAAAGAAAAGGAAATGCAAGAAAGCAAAGTGGCTGTCCAACGAGGCCTTACAAATAGCAGAGAAGAGAAGGGAAACAAAATGCAAGTCTGTATGTTGTCTCCCTGCTTATTTAACTTATATGCAGAATACATCATGCAAAAGGCTGGACCGTAGGAATCTCAAGCCGGAATTAAGATTGCCGGAAGAAATATCAACAGCCTTAGATATGCAGATGATACCACTCTGATGGTAGAAAGCGAAGAGGAATTAAAGAACCTCTTAATGAGGGTGAAAGAGGAGATAGCAAAAAATGGTTTGTAGGTCAACATCAAAAAAACTAAGATCATGGCCACCGGACCCATCACCTCCTGGCAAACAGAAGGGGAAGATATGGAGGCAGTGACAGATTTTACTTTCTTGGACTCCATGATCACTGCAGATGATGACAGCAGCCACAAAATTAAAAGATGCTTGCTTCTTGGGAAGAAAGCGATGACAAACCTTGACAGCATCTTAAAAAGCAGAGACCTCACCTTGCCGACAAATGTCCGCATACTCAAAGCTATTGTTTTTCCAGTAGTGATGTATGGAAGTGAGAGCTGGACCATAAGGAAGGCTGACCGCCAAAGAACTGATGCTGTTCTGTTAAATTGTGATGCTGGACTCTTGAGAGTCCTCTGGACTGCAAGGAGATAAAACCTATCCATTCTGATGGAAAACAGAGGAGAACAGTGCTCACTGGAGGACAGCTAAGGCTTCAATACTTCGGCCATCTCATGAGAAGAGAAATCTCCCTGGAAAAGCCCCTGATGTTAGGAAAGTGTGAAGGCAAAATGAAAAGAGGACGACAGAGGACGAGATGGTTGGAGAGTGTCATCAAAGCGAACAACAGGAATTTGACCCAATTCCGGAAGGCAGTGGAAGACAGGAGGGCCTGGCGTGCTCTGGTCCATGGGGTCATGAAGAGTCAGATACAACTTAACGACTAAACACCAACAACAATCTTCTAAGCTGGCCTGTAGTAAACCAACCATTTCAGCTGCACTGCATTTCATTATCCTGGAGATACCTGAAAGGGATTAACAGCAATGACAGATAATTAAGGCATCTGTAACATCAAGCATATGTCTGTATAATGGAAGACTAAGAGATGTGGGGAAGGAGAACTTAGCATTCTCATATAAGGGCAAAATTTGTCTCTTAGGAACAGGTCTGTCTATGCTTGAGGAAACCCCATTTAAGGTAACAATACAGGTTAGGAATAAGAGAACTAGCTTAGCTAGAACTTTATTTTTCTAAGTGTGTACCTTCTTTGAGATTATCTGAGATTTGCTTCATAACTTGCTGTGACCATGTTCTATTTTACTAAGAATCTTTTTGAGTAATTCTCAAGTTTTTAATTTTTTGTTACCATTCCATCCTCTTTTTTGCTCCTTTCTTTTTAAAAATACATAAAATCCTATCCATGCGTTGGCTAGATTTTAAAGGCAGAGGAAATCTAGGTTCTATTTTTTAGTGTCTCACCATAGGATACTGTGGCAATTTGTTTCGATGGGGAAGTGGCTGCTTTTGTTTGTACGCCTGTGTGTGTGTGTGTGTGTGTGTGTGTGTGTGTGTGTGTGTGTGTGTGTGTGTGTGGGTGTGTGTGTGTGTGTGTGTGTTTGGAAAGCATTGATCAAAGGAGCTGGACTATCTGGGAGTAAAAAAGAAGATTTTGTTCTCTGATTGAGCTCAATGGGATCTCTCCTCCTGTAGCCTCTTGAATGCCCCAACAAGGTGCATGGCAGTACTGTAGTACTGAGCAGGTAACAGGGCAACAGCCAGAGATCAGAAGAGACAGATGTTAACTAAACAAGTTCTGACTTCTTTCATGTTACCTTAGTTGGAAAGTTTACTCCTAGTTCAGCAAATCCTGTTCCTTTACATATTGCTATGTCTCATTCTGTGGAGCAAAGTATAGAAGAGGGAAGCATCATCAGTATGGCTGGAGTTGGTGGGATTCATGGTAGGTCTGCATGCATGCATGTGCATCTTCTGTTGGGCAAGGACAATTTTACTATTATATAACTTAAATGTTAACATTTTCCAGTTGTAAGGCTGAATGGTGCATCCAATTTTAAGTCAGGGGACAAAAGATATTTAAAGTCTGGGAAAAACTGCACCATTTCAGCATAATACATATATAGCAACTTGAATGCTTTGTTTTGTTAAGAGACATTCTTCAAATTAAAAAAAAGGTGACAAAAAGATTACACACAAAAAATAGGCTGCATTTCCTTTTTTAAAAAAAAAGTGCTGCAGATAATTAGTTTCCCTAATTTTAAACACATTTTTATTTCATAAGTCATGAAGAATCTTTATCCATTGGTGCTTCAGCTGTTCTCATACCAGCTGCTTCTGGCATTTGTTTTAGGATGCCAAACCAAACATCAATCTCCCATTCTACAAAGGTTTCTCCTTTGGCTGATGACATATTTCTGACACTTTCACAATCTTTCAAAATCTTCTCTGGATTTGGCAGTAAAGGATCATTGAAAACACCATACCAAGAGCCTGGAAAAGAAAGATGTTTATGGTATTATTTGGCAGCTTCAGATATCCTCCACAAACAGTCAATGCACAGCAAGAACATTTCATTTGCAAACCTCTTGGATTTACGTGCAGATGAATTCTGCTATGCTGAAGTTCTTTTCCAAAGTAATTTTAGAAGCATGACTCATAAATAGTGAGATTTTAATTAAACCCATATATACCACACTATGTGGAACTTGCATTTATTCTAAAAGATGGATTACTTTAAGGGTGAAGAAAGCATCTCATTCTTTGTGTTGCTTCTCTAAACTGTATACTGGTGCCTCTCTCTCTCTCTCTCTCTCTCTCTCTCTCTCTCTGTGTGTGTGTGTGTGTGTGTGTGTGTGTGTGTGTGAAAGAGAGGGAGAGAGATTTTGCAGCAGTTGGAAAAGGGTTTTCATTCTTCTCTGTTAAACATAGAACTATTCCATGATGGAAATCACTGAGTTCATCAGAAAGGAATCATGACATTAGACAAAAAATGGCTTTCCTGAACTTTTGTGTAACTGTTATAATCATGGAAAAACCCATTGCTCTGAGTTTATTGATTTATTTTATCGTTGTTTTTAACATAACTGCACCAGAAAGAGTTAATTTACATATGTGTTAGATGAAGCAACATTTTAATTAAGTGCTATGCGCAAAATAATTTTTAAGCAATTAGTATTATTCAATGAGCTATAATGGCACAGACAGTTCTAAAGGTATGAAAGAAATACATTCTTTTTAGAAGAAAGGGATGTATCCATGGAAGCTCACACTGAAATATAACAGTCTCTAAGGTGGCTCTATTTTTTCCCCATTGCTTTTGTCTGGATATTCTTGGCACCAGATGCAGATTTTTGTGGATTTTTGTCTGCAAGTCTGTAGCTAACAGTCAAGGCAAAGGATAGTTGAATCTACCTGATTTAAGAGAGAACAGCAGCAGAAAAAAACAAAGCAAAGTTTGTAGTCCTGAGTACCACACTTTTACATTTAACTGAAATACTCTTTAAAGAAATTTTGATAGGATGGAGTCAAAAGTATTAAGATGCCAAATAATCTACAGTCTGAAATTCAATACTTAGAATTGAGCCGGTGATCTGATCCATTGGTATCAAACACTGACCATGAGCAGAGTTTTGGCTGCAATGCTACAGTGCCACGAGGTTCCTATACATATTTACTTATATACTAATACCACTAATTTGAAGCCCTCCTGCAGGTGCACCTCCAAATGACAGTAGAAGGGTGGTTACAAATGACAGGGCCCTTGCAGTGATATAAGAAGTAAATAAAACATTTCTGTAAATTTGTGAAATGAAGAATTTGCCTCAGTTTTGCTGTTGCTCTGTTCATGTCCCTTGACTAGAGATGGTGGTATTTGTATTTGTATATGAATACCCCTGCACATGTGGACATAATGAGGGTCCAGTCCCCTGGGGCCGGACTGTCCACTCACCTGTTCGCTGCTGCAGCCGGTTCTCCCTCCCTTCCAATAGCTCCGGAGCTCATGGGCAACTAGCCACTTCTGGCAGAAAGAGGGAAGGCAAGCCTCCCTACCAGGCTAATGAGTGGCTAGTTGACCATGAGCTCTGGAGCGATTGGAAGGGAGCACGGAGCTGGCTGCAGCAGCGGACAGATGAGTGGATGGTCAAATACGAATACCCCCATCTCTACCCATGACTTCTTCTTTTGTGCTGTGTTTATCAAACTGGAAGTTTGTCATTGTTGCACAGACCTAAAAAGCTTTAGGGCCAGTATCTTGTTCCGAGTTCCAACTAGAGTAGACCCACTGACTTAATGGGATTTACAGAAGTGCTGACTTATTATTCAGTAATTAATTCAGTAGGCTTACTCTTAGTTGGGACTAGCAACAGGATAAGAGCTAGGTGCTTTGAGAAGTAAAACAAGAAGGCTTGGAGCAAAAGACTATGTTACCACAGCATTTCACAAAGCCACCTAGATACGTGTTGCTATTATGGAATTTGCTTTTTCCACAAGTAGCACATTTTTATCAACATATTTTTATCAGGCATTTTAAATATGTTTGTTTGTTTGTTTGTTTTATTTATTTATTTATTTATTTATTTATTTATTTATTTATTTATTTTATTTCTATCCCGCCTATCTGGTCATACTAGACCACTCTAGGCGGCTTACAATGTTTTAACATGCTTTAAGAAACAATTTTTATTTATTTATTTATTGGACTTATATACCGCCCCATAGCGCTACAAGCACTCTCCGGGCGGTTTACAATTTAATTATACAGGCTACACATTGCCCCCCCAGCAAGCTGGGTACTCATTTTACCGACCTTGGAAGGATAGAAGGCTGAGTCAACCTTGAGCCGGCTACCTGGGATTTGAACCCCAGGTCGTGAGCACAGTTTTAGCTGCAGTACAGCGTTTTAACCACTGCGCCATGAGGCTCATTGTTTTAAATGTTTTAAATATTCTGTTTAATCTTATTTTTAATGCAAACTGCTTAATTTATTGTGATTTTAAATACATGTAGTTTTTCAGTTGTTAAATGCCATCGTGTATCTCTTTATTGAGAGAAAGGTGGGGTATAAATTGAATAAATAAATAAGAAATAGGTGTAGAAAGAATATAATTGTCCACAGAGTCAGTGTTGCACATTGTATTTGATAGACTCCTCTTTCTCAGAAGAAAGTGATATGGAACTCAGAACAATGTCAGAATTTCAACAGATTATTTAAAGGGGGGATATAAATAATTCACAAGTATACACACATACACAAAATATGTTACTTAATCTAACAATGATTGGCTCAATATAAAACTAGTATTGTATAGCAGACAGAAAGCTCTAGCAAGACTTAGATACGTTCACATCCCTGCTTAGCTGTGAAGCTGACTAGTAGAGACACAACAGACAGCTATAATAGTTTATAATACCTCAAGGAATGCTAGTCCGAATGCTAGCCCCATAACTATTACCATATTCTCCTTGAAGAATTTAACTAGGATATCTCTACAAAACTGAAAGAGAGAAAAGACAAAATTAATAAATTAATAAAAATCCTAATAACTCATGACTTCAAAGGTGAACATGGGGAATGGGAATGACCTAAACTGGTGGAATCATGCAACTACTTGCAGGATAGACTATTTGGATTTGGTACCAAAAGGGAAAGCCAGAACTCTGCAACTAAATATTTTTCTAGAAATGTAGTTTAAGATTTGGAAATCTTCTGTCATCATAGCAATTTGATAGAACAAAAGAAGATTATCACTTGTCTAGACTAGAATTGATTTAACAGAACTGGTTACAGACTGAATCTGGTCACACAGGAAGGATCCTGTCGATGAGGTGGTGTCATGTCGGGGGGTGATCAGGTCCCTACAAGCAGGATCCTGCTTGCCAGTTGAACTGCTGCTGTCATTAATAAGGTTGTAGCCTTTTTATTCCTCTTATGGTATGTGTCAGTTATTTAAGGGATGAGGGCCTGTTTAGTAGTAGGCCAACAAATCTGACTCTTGCCCTTTTGGTGACGTGTTTGGGAAAGATAATAGAGCAAACCTATACTCCTCTGTAATTTGCGATGATACTATGAAAATTCAAGCAGTGCCTTGTTCCCTCTGTGGAAACGGTAAGAAACAATATAATTCTTTTTACCTGTACATATATAGACTTTTCACAGAAAGATGTGTCTTGGTCTTCCGGGGCACAAGTACAACCTTCATTTGGTCCCCAGTCAGCTTGCCCTTTCACTAAACCACAACATTTGTGCTGAAAGAGAGAAAATAAAAAAGGAGACAGTGAGTGTTCATGACTAGAGATGGGCATGAATCAGAAAAATGGTGATTGATTTTGATTCATGAATCATTAAGGTTGATGAATCACGTATTACAAATTTATTTTTTTCCTGACGAATCAATCGACTAGTCAATTTGTTTTAACTTTAAAACCCTATATAACGGCTCTCAAATCACCTAGAGACTCCAAATTTGCAAGAAATATTCCCCTGACTCTCCCCTACAAGCCCTGCATGTTTGGTGAAGTTTGAGTTTCAGACATCCAAGTTATACTCCCACTATGTGAGTCCCCTTAAGAAAGTGCCCTTTGGCAGCTGGCTTGGGGAAATCCAATCTTCACAATACTTGGAGGGATTGTAGAGGGGTGTTGGAGGAAGCTTCTCTGTGAAACTGGTGCCTCAGGTGCTTTGGGGGTCATTTTACAGGGTTTTTAAGTAAAAAAAGACAAATCAATTCATCAATTTGTCAGAAAAAATAATAAATTTGTAACTTGTGATTCGTCAGTCTTAATAAATCACAAATCAAAATAAATCATCATTTTTCTGATTCATGCCCATCCCTACTCCCTAGCTACCTAATCAGTTACATAAGCACAAGAATCTCAAACCTCACTCATGAGGTTTATGAAATTTCTCTTTCAAAATGCTTTGCAAAGAAATCTCTTTTTTAAAATCACATTGATTGAGAATGGGAGAATATTTTGGCACATTAGTTTGTAACATTTTACTTTAACCATTTTTCTATAACATTAACTAGTATTATTTATTTCAAGAAGAAAAGGGCACAGTACGGCTATTACAGAACATTTAATGTGGCCATAACAGATTATTTATGCATGGGTCTGAAGGTAGGTCTTTATAAAGTTTAGTTGGTTATGAAGTAGAAGACAGCAGAAGTTGCTGGATCTATATTTTCATTCAACATCAGCATATATTTCATGTTATAAATAAACATAACATTATTATTCCTGCAGGCAGATTATTTAATTTCTTTGTACTGTGTTTCCTCAAAAATAAGACAGGGTCTTATATTAATTTTTGCTCCCCCCACCCCAAAAAAACCCCCACACATTAGGATTTATTTTCAGGATTTTTTTTTTCATGTACAACAACCTACATTTATTTAAATACAGTCATGTCATCTTCTGGTTGCTGCACGATGGTGAAGGGCAGGGTTTCACTTAACTGGGGCTTATTTCTGGGGTAGGGCTTATATTACGAGCATCCTGAAAAATCATACGAGGGTCTATTTTCAGGTTAGGTCTTATTTTCGGGAAAACAGGGTATTTACCATGGAATATAAAAATATTACACCAGCTGAGTATCATTTGCATTCACTGAAACAGATTCTGCATTTTGCCAGATGGTTATAAGATAAACAGGCAGCTTTTTAAAAAGTAGTTTCCATGTCCGTTTTAGAACACATAATTTTGTTTCCCTTTTCAGTTTCTCAAGAGTTATTGCACTGAGTTTTACCTGGTGAGGGACACATGTCCATGACAGGAATTTACAGGACATACTGAACAATCCCAAATATTAAAGACATTTCAAAATTCCTAACTGTATGGTAATGACAACCCATCCTCTATCCTTTGCCTGCCTAGAATGTAATATTTTTAAAACCTATTAAGATTATTGTGAAACACATCTTAATAGAACCTTACTTTTATCAAACTCACTGTGTTCTTAATTTGTTGTGGTTGTCTTTCCAACAGAAAGTAACCAACAGACATGTAACAAATAGTTCAACTAAATGGAATTTTGTAGGCCTGCTTTTTCACATTGTCATGAAAAGAAAGTATTTTACTTACACACAAAAAACAAAATTGAAATGTTTTGGGTACCATGTCAACAAGAAGCCAAATAATAATAATTTCCTCCATTAGCTAAAGCAGATGCTTGAATAAGCTCCACAAGGTTCTGTGTGTGTTTCAAAGCTATCTGAGTGGGTACTTATTAGTGTAGAGAATTCTTTCTTTATAAAAGCATGTGCTTAAACACATATTTCTTTTACCTCTAAAGCTGAATAATGGAATTCTCTTCAGGGGCAGAAATAAAGAATATTCCAGCTTGACAACAAGAATGTGATCCATTATTCCTCCAGATGCTTCCCCCAACCAAGCTTCTGCATGTATGCAATCACCTTGAAAATGAACCCCATGCCTACCCAATGACCAACAATAGAACAAAGGCAAGCTTATTTTCAACTTCTTAATCTGCAAAACCTTATGGTTAAAAAAAGAGAGAGAGAAAATATCCTTTATCTCTTTTCTTCTAAATGCAGAGCTGGTGCCTTGTCTGTTTCTTACCTAATTCATGTACAGTACAAACAAATCTGGGCAATTTTAAAATGGAGTCAACATAACAGATAAACCTACATTTGGAGATGCAATTTTGACTAGCTTTAATTGACCAAGCCTTGTTCAATCTTCAATAGTAAAATGTAAATTGTCACTAGGACAGTACATTTTGGCTAAAATTGGCTACATTCATATTTCTAGTGTGATAAACCCAGCCCTTTCTTACATCAGACATGTTGACAGTGTTTGGCCAGGAGCAACATGACTCCTTGCCACCTGTCATCACAAGCTAGCCACACATGTTGGATGTTCCTGTTTCCCATCACTGTACAGGGATTTGACAGAGGTTCAAAAGAGGCAATACAATTATGTCATCAGAAGCATTAGAATGCCTTTAAAGTGTTAAGTTCATCTGATCATCCTAATATGAGATTTCTCAATTTCACAATTTGTTAATTCACTTGCTTTTGTTGTGTGATTAGTTACTGGCAGGCAAACACAGGCTTCATTTGCAAGTGTAATTTCTTGGTCAAGAAGGTATCCTAGAAGTTTCTCTGGTGGGAAAACATTTTCTCACATTCTAATTTGGAAGATGTTATCTTGTCTATTTCGGCCCTTTGAACAGGACAGAGTGACAATTCTGAAGCACCAAGTGCACTAATTAAATACTGCACTTTTATGAACTGAAATCCTAGGCATGCACAGACATAGGAGTTACACAATTTTGCTCTGCTGGAATGTAGACAGACAACCTATAGCCCTTCAGATATTGTTGAACTACAAGTCGCATTACAGATCATGTATATAGGATTGATGGGCATTGCAGTGCAACCACAGCTAGAGACGATGTTGCCCACTCCTCCCCCAATGCCCCATATAAATGCCACTATATAAGAACTTCAGTCTCCTCCTTCCTTTTAAAGACAGTAATTGACCTCAAAATACAAAAGTAGACCTCGAAAAATGTGGGCAGTGCCTTGTGAAAAAGGTGGGTGAGGAGTCTAAACATAACCAACTGTAGGATTGCGAACTGTCCAGGTGGTAGGAGTTAGAGTGACTGTCCTTTTGTATCTTTATCTGCAAAATCAGCTAGTGCAATTTACCATGATTGCCTGCTAATATCTGAACATGATTAGACAATACAGTAATAAACGTTTACTTCATGGGAATACCTCATACCTCATCTGAAATGACTTGGTTTTTAATACAGAAATTATATTTTAACCTTTTTGTATTTTGTATTTAACCCAGCATTTTGGAGAATGTACATATTTGTATTTGTACTTTTTAATCTGCTAGTATTATATCTGTTCAGCTGGCACCATGCTTGTGTATATATTATTATTTGTACTTAGGTTTTAAATTAGTGGAAGTTGAATGACCAAAGTGGTCAAAAGAATAAAGACTGCTCACTTTTATGTTCTGAGCTAATGTGGGGGCTAATGTGGGGGCTAATGGTGGAAAATTTGTCAGCCATATCTCTGTACCACAGGAAGCGTTGTAGTGGCCTGCACAGGTTTCTGTAAATGATTATTCAGGATATAGAACTCAACTTTCTGGCACAAAAGTGTTGGGTTATTATTTTTAAGAACAAGAATATGCAGCCTTGACAGTATTTCTTTTTCTTAATGATGAGACACTAGGGTACATGTTTCCAGACAACATACTTGTTCTGATCTTTTGAAATAAATAGAATTTAACAAATAAATTAACTTGCATTAATCTCAAATTTGCGAAAAATGGCCTGAAACTCTCGATCCATTTGTGCAGAACCTGATAACTTTGCAGCATTTTCAGCAAAGGTTTTGTCCAGTGTTTCTTCAATCTGGAATGGAACAAACAAGATAAATCAGTGTTTTTAGTCTAAGTTCTGTCAAACATAACTGATCAAAGAAGAACAGAAGAGTCCAGTACCTGAGGTTTAAAGAGCGCTCCCAAAATGCCTGCTACAATCTGGAGAAGCAGGATTGCTAGGAGTCCAATGAAAAACTGATGGAAGAAAAAGAAAGAAAAATGAATCATCTAAGTCCGAGGTGGAATTACTACTGTTGATTTGACCATATACTGTATATTTAGGACTGGACATTCAGAAGGCAGAGATTTTCATACGATAGTGACAACATGCAAAGGAGAACTGCCATTCTTCTTTTGTACATATTCAATAGTTGTGTAAAAGGGAAGAGTCTGTAAAATGTAGCCATCCATGCAAGGGTCAGAAAAATGGCATCAGCTGTGGCCCTCCAGATCTTGGACAGCAACTCCCATTAGATCTCTGTTACACAGTCAATTTGCAGTGACAACATGTGGCAACATCTGGAGGAGCACATATTCTCACATGTTCCCTATTTCTACTGTACAATCTTCTGCAGCAAAGCTGCATTTTCTCATGGTAGTCATATTATGACAGTGGACACTCTTCAAATCCTCATGAGAATTATGTATTGCTTTCCATCCATCATCCTGATAAACTGCTACTCCAGTGGCATGTGGCTGTGTGCATTGCCACCTGTGATGCAATTGGATAGTAGGTTAAGCTAGACCATGGGCATTTTAATAACTAAAAGCTAAGCACTGCTCTTTCCCCTGAAATATACTCCCTCCTTAACAACTACTGGGTCCCTTTTGGGGAGAAAGGCAGGGTAACAGTAAGTAAGTAAGTAAGTAAGTAAGTAAGTAAGTAAGTAAGTAAGTAAGTAAGTAAGTTAAGTAAATAAATAAATAAATAAATAAATAAATAAATAAATAAATATTCCTATCCAGTCTGAAATCATAATCAGATTAAACCTATTGCAATTTATGGGATGTGTTAGTTGCAACTAGCATACAGAACTACTTCTGTGTATTCGGTACCTCGGAAACTCTGTAAAGGTTTGCCATAAGTAGGAATTTACTTGATGGCATGAATTTTTGATTATTATTCAAAACTATTCAAAAATACCAGGCTAATAATAATAATAATAATAATAACAACTACTACTACTACTACTACTACTATTACTATTACTATTACTATTACTATTACTATTACTATTACTATTACTATTACTATTACTATTACTATTACTATTATTCATTGGATAAATGGAGTGTATAACTTGTACACATAAGAATACATGTGCTGTGATGTGCACATGCAAAGGTTGTGTCCAGATACAGCTCTTAATCAGAAGAGTGGAGCTAGTGGTTGTATCACCAATTTCACCTCCATGTGTTCATTTCTAGTCAGGACTGTGTCATTAAAGAGCAAATAGATCTAACTTTATCCTGCCTAACTCCAAGCTGACTGGGAGGATATGTGTGTAGGATTTGGTGAAGAATGTCTGAATCCCCCATATTCTTCCCAAATCCAGCTTTTTTGACAAGCAGATTTTTGTTAGCCTGACTAATTTTTCTCTGCTTCAAAGTTTGTGGGGATTGGTGTAGACATCAACTGCAATTCTCATTTACCTACTGTAATGTGAGCTCCTATGGGGGGACTAAAATCTGTTCTACTCCAAACCTTTCATTCATTTAAGCATGGTAAACTGCTGGCAGAGAAAGAGGTTGGATGACCATGTACTAAACAGTTGGTGACCTTGGAAAATAAATCTTGTGTGATTCATAGGTGACAAAACTATTCAGTAACACTCATCTCCTATAATCCATGGCCACTTAAAAGGAACAACTATGCATGCCTTTTGGGATTGAAAAAAAAGTCACTGCATTGCATGGTGTTAGAAAAAGCAGGGGGGCTCAGACTTACAGCAAAGCAGAATGCTGTCTAAAGATGTAATGGAATGTGCTGAATACTTCTAATTTTCATACCTTTCATAGTGTGCTTTATGATTAGTAATCATCTTTGATAGTAAGTATGATTTCTCAATTATAAAAATCTGTTTGGATCACATATCTGAACACTGAGTATTTCAGCTTTTAATGACAAACTATCTGTAATAAACAGTTGGATTCTCAAACTGGGAATGAAACTAGTCATAGTGAAGGGGAAGAGTTATGGAAAAACCTAAATAAATAATAGAAACCTACACAGCAGCCTTTTTTTTATTCAAAGAAGAGCCATTCTGTTTTACTCAAGTTTATTTGCTGCTGTAGCCTCCAATCTCATGTTTTCTTTATTTATCAGAAGTTCACAGAGCAAATGTTCCTGTTCTTGCCTCTTGCTTTGGGACACTCAGAAACTGCTAATAAAATGTTTCACTAAAATGTAGTGAATTCCTGTGAACCAATACATGAATAACAGTACATGATTTCACGACTCTGGACGTTGGCTAAGAAAGATTAAAATAGAAGTTGCAATGCTGAAACTTTACCAGGAGGAGCATGCACTCGCTTTCCTGAACGGCACCACAGCAACCCAGGAAACCAAGCACCATTATAATACAACCCACAGCAATAAGGAGCTCAATGACAGCAAACAGGCTTCTGTCTATGTTGAATTCCTGTGGAGACAAAGATCAAAGACCTGAGATACAAACAACAAAAGAATCAATGCAGAAAGGGTGTTTGAAAAAATGTGGGTTTAAAAAGTAACCAATTCATTCCACTTGTTTGTTAAAAATCATAATCATCAAGAAGATCTCTGGCACCGTTCAAGCATGAACTAATATATAAGCTGCTTGAATAATTTAGTGAGATGAAGCACTTTGTCGGGAGTTCATTTTCTCAAGTGTACCTTGTAGGACAGAGATCATCAACCCCTGGCCCACTGCCTGGTGCTGGTCCATGGCCTGAGCCCAACTGGGCCGTGAAGACAGACCTCCCACACCCACCCCGCATGCACTCACCCCCACAAAGGTGGCAGAATTGGAAGTGGCGGTGGAGGGGGGAATCCTGCATCAAGACCCCACTTGACCCCCAGAGGACCCTTTGCAATCTGTTGCTTCGCTCCCCCCAAACTCGTAGCCCCTCCAAAAGTTACCGCACCAGAAGGAACACTTTCTCTATCCACGCCCAGTAAAAAAAACCTGCGGGACCAGTTCTGCCCAGCAACCCTTGATGCCAATGTCAAGCTTTCCTCCCATTGGTCCTTTATTTACCCACCGGTCAATCCTGAATTCATAAAAGGAACTCGGGTCCAAAGGGCGATCCTAGGAAATGATGGGGGGTTGGGCGCCCACATTGGGGATTCTGCTCCGGCTGTAGCCCGGGTCCTACTTCCTCCCCCCCTGAATCCCACCCCCTGCCTGCAGGATTCCTGCAATCTCTCCTCCCTCCTCGTCTCCAAGGGGGAAATGGCTTTTAAGAATGGAGAATTCAGAGATTGGCTGAGGGGGAAAACCATCTGGCCAATGGAGGGAAAGCCATGCGGGTGTCATCAGGGGTTGCCAGACAGAACAGCCCCGGGTTGCCCCAGGTAGAAAGCAAAAGTCTGGAGGTTCAGAGGGTAGTGCGCCACCTTGCCACTTTCCCCAGGGGAAGATTCGGGCACACTCCTGCAGGAGAATGCTGTGTGCTCGCAGACTTGTGACTCTCTTCCATTGGGGGGCAGCTCTCCTGCTTCTGGGGGGCTGCCTCGTTGGACGGGGCGAGTACCTGGATGAGCTAGATTTCCGCCCCCTCACCGGTTCATTTCTTTGGGGTGGGGCAGTCTAACGGGCACCTCGGGGTCCTTTGGTGTGCCTCCAGATGTGCACCCTGGAAATCCACTCCTTTTCTTTCTTAGCTTGCACGGCTAGTGGCAGGGGGGAAGAGAGTTGGAGGGAAGCAACTTGGAAGAAGGTGCGACCAGCCACAGAATTCCCCCCCCCATTGCGCACATAGTTGCGCAATTCCGGGACTGGTCATGAGAACTGAGGGCCGGGTTTCCAACTTTGCAGGGGTCAGGTTGCAGCAGTAGGCGACTTATGCACACCTCTGCAAGGCCAAGGGTCTCCTGGAAGTTCTGAAAAGAAAATGTTTGAGCAAGGACAGGAAGCATTTGATCAGCATCAACTTACAGTGGATATAAAAATTTAACATTTAAGTTTACATGTTAACATGTCAAGAGTTTCTGATGTAAAAATGATACAAGATTTTTCAGAACTTTTTCCACCTTTAAAGAGACCTATGAACTGTACCGCTCAGTTGAACAACAAACAAATCTTTTAGGTGGAGGGAAGTAAAAATAAACAACTGAAATAATGTGGTTGCATATGTGTGCACACCCTTAAACTAATACTTTGTCAAAGCACCTTTTGATTTTATTACAGCACTCAGCCTTTTTGGGTTTGAGTCTATCAGTAGGGCACATCTTGACTTGACAATATTTGCCCACTCTTCTTTGCAAAAATGCTCCAAATCTGTCAGATTGTGTCTCCTGTGCACAGCCCTCGTCAGATCATCCCACAGATATTCAATTGGATTCAGGTCTGGGCTCTGACTGGGCCATTCCAAAACGTTAATCTTCTTCTGGTAAAGCCATTCCTTTGTTGATTTGGCTGTATGCTTTGGGTCGCCGTCATGCTGAAAGCTTCCTCCTCATGTTCAGCTTTCTTGCAGAAGCCTGAAGGTTTTGTGCCAATATTGACAGGTATTTGGAACTGTTCATAATTCCCTCTAGCTTGACTAAGGTCAAGCTAGAAGAAATTTAAGGTCAAGCTAGAGATCCCAGCTGAAGCAAAACAGCCCCAAAGCTGCCACCGCCATGCTTCGCTGTGGGCATGGTGTTCTTTTGGTGATGCACAATGTTGTTTTTGCGCCAAACAGATCTTTTGGAATTATGGTCGAAAAGTTCAACCTTAGTTTCATAAGACCATAACACTTTTTCCCACATGCTTTTGGAAGACTACAGATGTGTTATTGCAAAATTTAGTCAGGCTATGTATGCTTTTCCTCATAAGAAAAGTCTTCCGTCTTGCCACTCGATCCCATAGCCCAGACCTACGAAGAATACAGGAGATTGTTGTCACATGTACCACACAGCCAGTATTTGCCAGATATTCCTGCAGCTCCTTTAATATTGCTGTAGGCCTCTTGTCAGCCTCCCTGATCAATTTTCCTCTAGTCTTTTCATCACTTTTGCAGAGACGTCCAGTCCTTGGTAATGTCATTGTTGTGCGATATTTTCTCCACTTGATTATGACTGTCTTCACTGTGTTCCATGGTATATCTAATGCCTTGCTAATTCCTTCAACAACCTACTGCATAACAACTACCCCCATGCACGGATGGCCCTCCATTCACGGACACCGGGGGCAGCAGCCCCCCCCCCAGTGCTTGGAAGAATGGTCTTTAACAAAACTGGTCCCTGGCATTAAAAAGGTTGGGGACCACTGTTGTAGGAGAAGAGCCAGCTTCTGTGGCCTAGAACAAGCTACAAACTCTCAGAGTACCTAAAGAAGAAGGAAAGAGTAAACTACTTCTGACTATAGTGTATCTAGGAAATTCTGGAAAGGGGTGCGATAAATCAGAACTGAATTGACAGCATACACTCATTACTAACCTTTTGCTCTTTTAAATGGCATCAAAAATCTGATGCCCCAGAACTCTGCTACTCTGTTTCACAGCCGGAGAGGCCTTGTTTGTCCAATACCCAAGGACGCCCCACTATTACAGCAGCAGAGGACATGGCAGTTGTGTTGCTTACAGTGTATTGGCCAACACAATGCATATTGCTCAGATGTAGTGGGGAAAGGGTTAGGTAGGACATAAGAATATCAATATTAATCCATGTCCTGACAACATGAAAACCATAATGCACGTGCCATATCTACAAACAGAAACATAAGACTTTAAACCCAATAATTAGTCTCAATTAGAGCAGACCCACTGAATCAATGGGTACCTGGTGACACAATATTTATTTATTTTATTTATTTATTAAATTTATACCCCGCCCCTCTAGACCATGTCTACTTGGGGCGGCTTACAACATAAAATAGGACAATATAAAATATAAATAATCATAAAATACAATTAATAGATTAGTTAATACAATTAGATTAAAATTAGCAGAATAGAATGAGATGAAAGAAAGAAAATAAAAGACTTAGCTGACTGGAGGGAAGGCCTGCTTAAATAGCCAAGTTTTAAACTGTTTTTAAAAAACACCCAGCGAGGGTGCCAGCCGAATTTCTGCTGGAAGGGCATTCCACAGCTGAGGGGCCACCACTGAGAAGGCCCGGTTTCTAATTTTTTCCTTCCGAGCCTCTCTCGGCGTCAGACCCCTCAACCGTCCCTGCTGGCTAGCATGGGTGATCTGGGTAGATCTGGGTGGGAGAAGATGGTCTGCCAAATATTGAGGTCCCAAACCATTTAGTGCTTAATAAGTGATCATTAGCACTTTGAATTCGACACGGAAACGGATGGTCAACCAGTGCAGTGCAGCCAGAGTGGGGGAGATATGTTGGTGTTTTCTCACCCCACTAAGTAACCTGGCTGCCGCATTCTGGATCATCTGAAATTTCCACATCAGCCTCAAAGGCAGCCCCACGTAGAGTGTGTTACAATGGTCTAATCTCGAGATTACGAGCGTATGTACTAGAGTAGTGAGAGCCCCCCGATCAAGATATGGATGCAGCTGGGCAATCCGGCATAGATGGAAATAGGCGGAGCGGGCCACAGACGCCACCTGGGTTTCCATGGGTAAGCACCGGGTCCAGATGTACCCCAAGCTGCAGACCTCATTCTTTGCGGAACGGCATCCACTGAAGTAGATGAAAAGGAAATGTAGAGCTGTGTGTCGTCAGCATACTGGTGACACGAAGCTCCACACTCCCTGATGACCCCTCCCAGTGGCCTCGTGTAGATGTTAAACAGCATTGGAGAGATGATTGACCCCTGTGGAACCCCACAATTGAGGCTCCACGGGGTCGAGACCCTCTCTCCAAGCTGTACTCTCTGGGGCCGGTCCTCCAAGAAGGAACGGAGCCAAGCAAGTGCTAGGCCACCTATTCCTAACTTAGAGAGCCTCCCCAGGAGGATATCGTGGTCAATGGTATCAAAGGCTGCTGAGACGTCAAGGAGGACCAACAAGGACATATTGCCCCCATCGGCCTCCCTCAATAGGTCATCCATCAGTGCGACCAGTGCCGTTTCCGTACGATAGCGTGGCCTGAAGCCCGCCTGGAATGGGTCCAGAGCATTGGTTTCGTCCAAGAGCTGATCTGCCACCACCCTCTCGACCACCTTGCTGAGGAAGGAAACATTGGCGACGGGCCTATAATTTCCAATGTTGTCCATCTCCAAACTTACAATACTTATGTACGTAAGTTTGACTGATTGAATGGATCTACTCTAGTAAAGACTAACAATTTGATTTAAGCTGGTTTAGAGGTTGCTCAATAAACAGCTTACCTCCATCTAGTGAGTAGAAATTAAACAAAGTCTATGTGTGTACAACTTTTCCCTCTAGAAGGAAAGCCTCTGTGTGCATGGGCTCAAGTCTGCATAGGGTCTTTTTAGATATTCTGTTAATGAGCAGGGGCTAGAGAGGGCATGATTCTGCTTCTCTCCATCTGCATATTCATATTTACAGATTTTTAGAATCCCTCAATGTTGATGCAACATAACAGAAGGCAAAGGACAGGGTCTCAGTTAGGAAGAGGATGGTAACTGTTGGTTTATTTCTGTATTTGATCTCTTGCACCCATAATATAAACTTATGCTGGCAGGATAGGACAACCATCAGATTGGTAAGATACAACAGAAGCACAGTATAAATGGAAAATTAAAAACTGGTTTCTGTGGCTGGGTGAGGTGGTTGAAACCTTCTCCTGACCTCTTTCACACATTAGGCATAAAGAAAGGGGTGGAACACTATTGATGCCATTGGTGTTCATGGGTAAAAAGAGCAAATAACATCACTGTAAGATCTCTTGCCTTCCCACTTTTAAGACACTTACAGAATGGTCAGAGTGCAAATTTATGAAAATGAAGGATTTGAGGGTGAGAAGTACATTTCCCCTGATCATATGCATTTGACCATAACCATACCACTTTTACCTTTAAGTGAAATTTTTAAGTTAAAAAAGGAAAGAAAGTCTGACTGAACAATAACCATTATATTTAAAGTATCACATTGAGCACTCAGTGGATGGGTTAACAAGGTTTCTACTAGTTCTGCTGTTGGCATTCAAAGCAGCAGCCAAGCCCTGTGCAGAAATTGACAGAGAACTGAATAACCATCTACTTTTTTTTATGAAGTTCCACATGGCAGAGGAACTAGAGACCAAATTGCTAACATGCACTGGATTATGGAGAAAGCCAGAGAGTTCAGGAAAAACATTTACTTCTGCTTCATTGACTATGCAAAAGCCTTTGACTGTGTGGACCACAGCAAACTATGGCAAGTTCTTAAAGAAATGGGAGTGCCTGACCACCTTATCTGTCTCCTGACAAATCTATATGTGGGACAGGAAGTAACAGTTAGAACTGGATATGGAACAACTGATTGGTTCAAAATTGGAAAGGGAGTACGGCAAGGCTGTATATTGTCCCCCAGCTTATTTTACTTATATGCAGAATACATCATGCAAAAGACTGGACTGCAGGAATCCCAAGACGGAATTAAGATTGCCAGAAGAAAGATCAACAACTTCCAATATGCAGATGATACCACTCTGATAGAAGAAAGTGAGGAGGAATTAAAGAACCTTGTAATGAGGGTAAAAGAGGAGAGTGTGAAAAATGGTCTGAAACTCAACATAAAAAAACTAAGATCATGGCCACTGGTCCCATCACCTCCTGCCAAATAGAAGGGGAAGATATGGAGATATTGATTTCTAAAATTAAAAATGAGAACATGTATTTCCTGGACAGCAGAGCTATCATTGAGAGGGTTTATGTTTCACAGCCAAGTACTGTATATATCTTGAAATCATTAATTATAATAGAAAGGAAAGCACACTTACCACTTGTGCAGGTTTGCTGACACGCATCCATATAGACATTCCCAGAATAACACATCCACTTATCTGTTCAAGAAAGAAAAAGTCACCATTAGCAATTGAAAAAGAATGTTAATCGTTCCCTTTACACACAGTGCCTCTATGGTTGTGACAATGATTTTGGGGGCACAGAAAGGGAATGAAAGCTAGTCATGTATTACACACCATAGACTTCCACACTGCTGACATTATCACCCCATAAGCTCCAGCTGCCCTTATTCATGGGGGTTTCCTTACTTATTGGTATCTATGCGTCTTTTCATTCTTTTGCTCCAATTTTCAGGGCAAAGTTTCTGGATATTTATTTCAACAACAACAAAGTCAATAGGTATATGCAAGGTTTAGAAAGTTGTTGCTTTCATCCCTCCCCCCCCAAACCCGTCTGCTGTTAACTTTCTCAACCAGAGTAATAGTGTATGTAGTCTGGCTGAGCCTAAACTGAGTCTTACAACTTATCTGTCATTAGAAGAGGGGATTATAATTGTTTTTTCACCTCCCGTAGTTTGCAAATTAGTTTCCTTTGTTTTGTGATTGATTTCAAGTGCTAAACACAGCTTCATTTGCAAATCTGTTTTCAGATGCATGAAAGTCTGGAAAAGTACAGTGGTGCCCCGCATAGCGGATTAATCGTCGCTATGCAGAAACATCGCTAAACGGAACGGAAAAAGCCATAGGAACGCATTAATGCGTTCCTGTGGCTCCCAAACTCACAGTTCAGCGAAGTTCCTCCATAGTGCCGCCATTTATTTATTTATTTATTTATTGGACTTATATACCACCCCATAGCGCTACAAGCACTCTCCAGGCGGTTTACAATTTTTAATTATACATTTTCGCGCCCTCCGTAAGCGAGGGCAGGCGCAAAAACACTTGCGGCGGCCATTTTGGGCACCCAGCGGCCATTTTGGAACCGCAATCAGCTGTTTAAAAAAACATCGCGATGCGAAGATCAGTAAGCAAAACGCTTACCGATCATTGCAATGCGATGTTTTGCCTATTCAGAACATTGCTATGCAATCGCATTAGCGATCTAAAAATAGATTGCTATGCGGATTCATCGTTAAACGGTGCGCTCGTTAAGCGAGGCACCACTGTAAATCTGTAATGTATAGTTTGACCTTCAGATACAATCTTCCACCCTTGCATCTCCAGATGCTCTCCAAATGCAAATCCCATATTTCCCAGCCAGCACAGTCACTTGTAGGGAATGATGGGCACCGAAACTCAGTAACTTAATGGAAGTACAGGTTGGGAAAGGCTGACTTAGAACATATGTGTAGGATCAAAATGGCAGTACAATGCTTTCCTTCCCTTTCAACCCCTCCCAAGAAATCGCTGTTTTCCTCTCCCTCATAATAAGTGCAGATGAACTTTCGGTTTGGGGTAATCAAGCCCAGCACACCCTATGCAGACAATGGAAATTTGGGGGGCACAGAAAGGGAATGAAAGCTAGTCATATATTACACACCAGCAACAACATACAGTAGTACGTTAGAGTGTCAGTGCTCTCCCCACCCCCAATAGAATAGTATTGTCCTCATTGCTTTGTATTTCTATTCTCATCATCTCTTATCATTGACATTGATGGCCAGAGAGATGAGCATTGTAGTCCAAATATTCAGAAGGTGCAAAGTCATACAGAAGAGCAAACTATGTAAATAATGTGATCATATAAAATTTTATTTCTCAATAAAATCATTGGAAAACAATGAGAAATGCAGTATTTCAGTTAGTAACAATTGTACAATACTAAAAAATGAATTAATACAATACAAAAAAAGCAAAACCAAAATACATTGAATGCATTTAGGTATAAAAATCCATTTTAAAAAAATGCTAGGCAGCCATTTACTTGGGGAAAGCTTGCCTGAATAGAAAGGTATTCACCTGCTTGTAGAAGGACAGTATAGATGGGCCCAGTCCAATCTTCTGTGAGAGGGAGTTCCAGAATCTGGTAGCAGCAACAAAGAAGGTTCTGTCCCATTTGACATAAATAATTTAAGATTTCAAACATTTGAATTCTGAGAAAGTGAAACTGACAGATTTCTTCATTCTGTTAGAGGGCTTTAAGTATTCATCTCTTAAAAACCTAGAATAGAATGCTTGGGGATTCAATTATATTTGTGGTGCTAAAATAGGGCTTTCACCTCTCTTTTTTCTGACAGCCTCTTCTTCTTTGACCGCTATGGTAGCCAGGTACAATATGACCCTCTCCATATTGGGATTATATGTTGTGGGAAACTTCTGCTTAAAGGTTGTAGCTGCATTCTGTTCCAATGACGTGCATACACTCCTGACAGGAAGCAGCAGCTGCCAGCAAGCAGGGTAACCCCTTCTTCTGCTCTTTCACTTAGAGGTAGAGCATAAAATCAGAGTTATTTCAGCCAATCCTAGTTACGATTAGGTAACTAGTATCCTATCTGAATTCTAACAACACACTAAGTAATGATGCTAAGTAAATAAAAGAGCTCTCAGGGCGTTGCTGGTAGGCTCCACTGGTTCGGACAGTTGTGCTGTCGACTCCTTTGTTCTAAGGCAATTAGCCTTCCTTTGTTCCGTGATCACTCATATTTGGTGCCCGAACAGGGACATCAAGCTGGAACATCAACATCGCCTGAGGCAATCAAAGCAGCTCACCTCACCCGGCAAGGGCTCGAGACACATCCTCATATCCTTTTAGGATCCTGGTGAGTATTATTAGTTTAAAAAACACCCTTACACCGCTTCAAAAACAGCATAAGAAAGACTTTATTTATTTGCTTCATAGAGAAGGTCACCATGATGTATCTGATTCAGTAGAGAATTTACTGAAGGAAATAGGTACTTTTTGTTGTTGGTACCCGGAAGGCGGCAGCTTTAAGGTTTCATATTGGGATAAAATTGAGAATAAACTTCACAAAGACCCTGTTGCTCCAGTTAAAGTCCTCCATACATCGCATCTTTGCTAGGATGCGATTACAAAGATCGTGAACCCTTTGTTAGCCCAGTCTTTAGCTAACCTTCCAACAGCCCCTCAGTTTTTGCCACCCTCTAAGCCCCCAGATCTCCATGAAAATAGAAACAATCCTTCTTCCTACGCAGCTCCTGCCACTCTTGCAACAGCCCCTTCTCCTCTTTCTGCTCCTGCCCCTCCTCCCTCTTCTCCCTCTCCTCATTCAGCAGTGCAGCAGATGTTATCTGATGTTATGGTCCAAGGAAACCCGGAGGATGTTGCTGCCACTCTCCCTCTTATGTCTGTTTGTCCTGTGCTTCATAACAATCAGGGATACTGTGTTCATGTAAGTCTTCCCCTTGCCATGTTTAAAAAGTTGAAAAAAACGTGTAGTTGAAAATGGTCTCCATAGCAGTTTTACCCTTGGGTTGGTTGATGGGTTTTGATGGAATGTAAATCTTATTGCAGCTGACTGGAAAGTCTTGATTAAAGCAATGCTCAATCCTGCGCAATTTGTACTTTTCATGCAGGAATGTAAAGACACTGCTGCCATTTTGGCCATGGATAATTTACAAAACAATATTGCTGCGTCTGCATATATGTTAAATGGAGATGGACTCTTTGTCACCATAGCACAGCAGATTACCATCCCTAGCAGGGGATTGGCACAAGTGGCTGACGTTGTTAGAGCAGCCTGGTTAAAAATCCCAGACAAAGGCAGGTGATCCCTTTAGGGTCATTTGCCAATTTTCATCAGGGTCCTAAAGAGGACTATATGTCTTTCATTAACAAATTGCAAAGAGCGATTGAATGGCCGGTGGAGAATACTGAGGCTGCTGATATTTTGATGAAACAGCTGGCATTTGGAAATGCTAACATAGATTGTAAAATGGCCCTTCAGGCTATTTACAATAAACCAGAGACTGACATTGCTGCCATGCTAAAATCATGCCAGAATATTGGCACAGAAACTCACAAGGCACAACGTTTGTGTCACAGCCATGGCTACCTCCTTGAATCCTTCCTGAGATTGTAAATGTTTTTCCTGTGACAAGGAAGGGCACTTCAGTTGGGAATGTAGATCAACACTCCAAAATAATAAACATCCTTCTAAAAATGTCCCCAGTGTCAGAAAAGTTATCACTGGGCTAATCAATGCCAATCTGTTCCAACACCGGAAAACTCCAAGTCGGGTGGTCCTCCACCCCCGGGTCAAGTGGGGGGAACACAGTGAATACTACCCTCGTTCAAGAAATCCAACTTGCTACTGTTAAAAGTGCCGGTCATGATTTGCTTACAGTAAAAGAGGTTGACTATCAATTCCCTCTAGCTGTCTATGATTTTCTGGCTGACTGCTTAGAGAAAAAAGGCCTTCATATGGCTCCAAAAAAGATACAAACCACACTTCTGTTTCTTTATCTAGGGCACAAACTGTTGCAAGCTACATCTTCTCCATTCTTACCAGAACTAAAAACTCCATCTCAATTTACATTAGTACAGTTGCAACAGTTCCTCAGTCACTTAAATTAGGCTCGTCCATTTTTGTGCCTTCCTACTCATGAATTGCAACCTTTGTTTAATGCACTTCAGGGACATCAGTCCCTTGCTGACTCCATACCCATCACCAAGGCTATGAAGCATGCAATACAAATTAATGCAGCATTGCGACGTACCATGGCCCACTGCATTCCTTCCTTTGGTCCCTTGCAGCTGGTTATCTTGAACACTCCCCAACTGCCTACTGGATTGTTGTGTAGTCCAAAGTCTGACAAGGCCGTTTCTGTAGCAGAATGGCTTTATTTATCTAACACTCTTCCCCAAAATGTTTACTCCACTCTAAATGTGATTACAGACCTTGTAATCAAAGGATGCTATCATGCCAAACAACTCACAGGTTGGGATTTTCTGTGTTGTTATTTACCTATTTCCAAAGCTGACCATAATCATTTAATGTCTACATCACTAACTTGTCAAATTGCTTTTGCAGACTATATTGGTGATATATGTTTTAATCCACCTAGAGACCCTCGCTTAACATTCATTCAGTAAGTACCCTTTCACTTTTCCTCTCTTTTCTCTGCTACTCCTCTCCCTGATGCTCTAACTGTTTTTACCAATGGTGCGCCTACCAGAGGCGTGGTTACCTTTCAGCAACCTCTGTATTTAGCCTTCTCAGTCATCTGTCACATGCCTATCTTTCTGCTCTTGACTTCTCCTTACTTTCCCCGTTTTTGACTTTAAAAAACATCCTTGCTGCCAGATCACAACCTTTTTTTGCAGCTCACATCCGATCTCATACTGGATTTCAAAATGCTATCTCGGAGAGAAATCATCGTGCAGACTCTGCTCTTCGTTCCTTGTGCCCCTCTTTTCCAATCCTACTGACAGCCATTTCTTATCCCATCAGAGTACTAAACAACTTCATAAGCAATTTTCCATTCTGCTTTCTCAAGCTTGAGACATTGTCTCCTCCTGTTTCATATCTCCCATTTCCCTTTGAGTAACAGATGCCAAGCAGCTCTGGCAAATGGATGTCACACATGTTCCTACCCTTGCTCCTCTTTCTTATGTTCCTTGTGGCAAGACCACTCGCCATGTCATACAGCATTGTTTACGTACCTTTGCAATTATGGGCCAGCCTCAAGCCTTAAAAACAGACAATGGCCCTGCCTATACCTCTCATGCCTTTACCACTTTCTGCAATTAATGGGATGTTCAGCTTTCCCATGATATTCCTTATAACTGCACAGGACAGGCTATTGTGGAATGAGCACACTGCTCTTTTAAATTTCTCCTTTCAAAACAAATAAAAAAGAGACGAATCAAGCCCCAAAATGTTCCAGGTGTAGTATCAATAGCATTGTTCACATTAAATCATTTAACTATATCTGCAAGTTGTCGCCAGTAGAGAAACACTTTCATAAAGAAATCCCCATGGAACAGCTGCTGGGGACTTATAAGCAACCTCCTGGCCCTCAGTGGGAGGGTCCAGCTCCTTTACTAACATGGGGCCGCAGCTATGCTGCTGTGCTTACTCCCACAGGTTCCTTGTGGACCCTGGCTCAGTGTGTGAGGTCATATCATGGGAAGAATGAGTTGGCATCGCAACCTGCAGAACCAGATTCCGGAATTCAACCCAGCGATGGCTCTGGAATGGGACCAGATGACTGCACATCGCCGGAAGCACCCAGCCTGACCTGAAGGCACTTTTAGCACAAAGTTACTTGAGGGATGATAAAGACACTGAGTGCTGATGCAAAAAGAACTCTAAATCAGCAACAGATCCCAGAAACTCCTGAAACGTTTCTAGCAGCCATTATCTCGCAGCTGAATGCCAACTCAGTAACGCTGTTGTGTTGCATTCTCATTCTTGGAATTCTGCTCCTCATGCTCCTTATAATTTGCTGATGTTTTATTCAATGTATACCAATCTTCTTTTCCATAATAATTACCTGTCTCAAAGCTTTGCCTTCAGGCCTTCGCCAAAAAGATTTATATGTAGTTCACAAATATATGAAAGAATAGATGCCTTTGCTTAAAAAACAAGAAAAAGGGAGAATATGGGAAACTTCTACTTAAAGGTTGTAGTTGCATTCTGTTCCAGTGACGTGCATACACTCCTGGCAAGAAGCAGCAGCTGCCAGCAGGCGGGGTAACCCCTTCTTCTGCCCTTTCGCTTAGAGGTACAGCATAAGATCAAAGGGTTATTTCAGCCAATCCTAGTTATGATTAGGTAATTAGTATCCTATCTGAATTCTAACAACATACTATGTAATGATGCTAAGTAAATAAAAGAGCTCTCAGGGCATTGCTGGTAGGCTCCGCTGGTTCGGACACCTGTGCTGTCGATTCCTTTGTTCTAAGGCAATTAGCCTTCCTTTGTTCCGTGATCACCCACAATATGTGCCTAATAAATTTGGCCAGTTCAGATAAACATTTGACTATCATTTGAATATCGTGATAATTTACAAATTTTGTCATAAATAGAATGGAAATGACGTTTTGGGAGAACATGATATTGAGGGAAACATCCATCCTTATTAAGCAAAATTTCTGGAATCTGAATCCTGAATAGATACACATTTTAAAAATTGATTTTCAAACTAAATAGATTGGTTCTTTGCCCTTTTAATAGTATCTTTGTCTCATGCACACATACATCAAATATATACTACACTATAACATGATAAATCCAAGGAGCTAAGGGGCTTGGTGATAGACTGGAAAGTAACCAGGATATCAAAACTCCAGTTATGTCTGGAAAGTCAATTTCCTTCCCCCCCTCCTGCAACTCATTTGGTGAGATCCCATAAATGCAGTAAGAAGCAATGTACAGTATTTTTAAATGGATTTTTTTGCACTTAATCTGTGAATAGGCAACTTGTGGCCCTCTAGATGTTATTGGGATAGAACTTCCATTAACCCTACTCAGCACACCCAATGGTAAGACATGGGAGTTGCACTCTAACAACATATGGAATGCCATGACAGTCAGTCTCTAATTAAATCAAATTCTCCAATCTAGCAACAGCTAAGAAAGCAGCCTTCTTTATATGCATCCCAACCTATATTAAGAGCCTGACATACAGAAAGATGTAAGGGTTTCATGTCTAGGACCCAGTCTAATGTTATAGTAAGTCACAATGTTCTATTAATTTTGGTGAAGATCTTCAGAAATCTGGGTTTTGCTCCTGATATTGGAACATGAACACCTCTCAGAAAGAGAGACTTGTGTTTTTCAGTCCTCCGGAGAGATACAGTTGTGTTCAAAATTATTCAACCCCCACTGAAATTGAATGTTTTGGCCATTTTGACATTGATTTTGATCATTCAGTCATCTTGCTTACATTTACATGAAAGAGGCACTTGTAGGTCAGAGAAATATAACCTTAAGTTTATAATGAAATAACCACAAATGTCTTTTATAGTAAGTCACAATGTTCTATTAATTTTGGTGAAGAGCTTCAGAAATCTGGGTTTTGCTCCTGATATTGGAACATGAACACCTCTCAGAAAGAGAGACTTGTGTTTTTCAGTCCTCCGGAGAGATACCTGACAAAAGAGACTATCTGTTGGGTGGCTTTGCATATTATTAGCATCACAGAAGTGTAGTCTTTCTTCTCTTAACAGCCTGTCAACATGCAATCCAGTCCAGGTCTCATGTGTGCTAAATGGCTGGAATTTAATGCTTTAAGAAGTATCAGAGCATTTTTCAACCTGGATTTCACTTTTTAAATCCTGCCCTGGCATCACAAAACAGGATTTTTTATATATATATAAAGTAGAAGATTATTGAAAATGCTACTTCAGTGTTACCTGAATTATATTTGTTTCATATAATAGTAAGTTTCCACACTTACCAAAAATACGACGTTGAAGACGAATATGGAGTACTTTATGCAGGTGTCCACGCCCATGTTGTCGCCCTAATCCAGCAGGAGCAACAGCCAAAAAGAAGCAAAATGTCTCAGAAAGGTCACTTTGCAAGTAGTTTTTTGGAGGAAGCTCAGAAGCTGCTTCCTTTTCTTTGATAACAGAAACAGAAATTCTGAGGAGAAAATACCTATTATGATTCAAACCTTGCATATTCTGTAGATAAATATTAACCACGTTATTTAAAAAGCACCAATTGTGGCTGTCAGTGACTATGTCTGGGCATGTTACACTTTACAGAACCAGCATACTGTTTTTGGTCTAAAACCTGGAAAGTTAACATGAAATTGAGAAGCACAGAGAATAGTACTTTTCATGCACCCTACAGGAAATGACACTGACGAAGAGCATCTAATCTAGTTTTTAATAGGCTGTCAGTGAGAAATTCCTGTTACAAACTCCATTTATCTTCCTAAAAATATGTGTGGTTTGTTGTTGTTGTTTGCAATAGGGACAGTAAAATGGTTAAGTGTGCTGGTCATGATTTTAAATTTTTAGAAGGCAGGGTGGGTAGGAACAGCTTTCTTTCGTTTGCATTTGGAGCAGAAACACCCTCCTGAAATTTTGCAGTAAGGTGCCTCTCTGCTTTGCCCATGAACTGCGGAGCCCAGTTGCTTTTTTCCAGACATTTGTAGTAGGTCAAAAAGACCTGCTTCCTTTCCTCAAGAATTCTCATAGAAGAAAGCTTGGGCATCTTCCAAAGCCAACCAACAGAAAACTTACTCATTGACAGGTAGAGTTTACTTTGGTTCTTTCAGCTGCACCAAGCCTTCTTAGTCTAATGATCAACCAGCATCTGATCATTTGTCATGTAAAACAGACAGTGCTGTAAGAGAGAAAGGGTGCCAATCCCCCAAACACCAACATTTTCCATTCCTGTGCCAAGCTCCATTGAATGTAGTTGTATTATCATTTCCTTACCTATTGTGTGACTTTGTAGTGGCCCTTATTTTTTTTAAAAAAAGTGTCAGCATGCAGTAATCAAGAGCTGTTCAGAAAAGGTCACTGTAAACAAAAGTACAAATGCCTCTTCCTCCTCCTCCTTTTCACCCTCCCATAGGGTTGCTTGGGGATTGGTCTATCCTTCTCTCTTGATGGTAGGAGAGATGGTGCCCACCTAGAAGTCATGGCACTAAAGTTAACCGGGAAGGCATTCTGATGCAGGGCACCACCAGTGAATATTAAATCCCAGTTAAAAATTATTAGCTTTAAACAAGCAAAAATTACTGGAGATCTCAACATTAACCAGTTGCCAGTGGCATCCAAAAGCTGACATGCTTGTTTTTCCTCATATAATAAGGACTGATAAAGCAAAGAGAAGGTTGCTTCCTAAAACATTTCAATCCAGTTGAAATGCAGCTCATTCTTCCCTTCATTAATTTATGCTTTTTCTCAATAAGGGGACTTGAGGTAGCTTACAAAAATATTCAAATGACAAATACCTTTAAAAATACATTACATTATTCAAAGGGAGTTAAACATAACACCACGTTAAAACAAATGAACAAAACACTTTAAAATAATCAAAATCACATTAAACGGGGTTTTCGAAAAAGCACATCTAAAGTGCCTCCTTTGGCAGCAAGTTGCTGAACAGAAAGATGTCTGTGTCAGATCCGAGGTTCCAGCACCATACACCATTCTCAGCTGTCCCATGAAGGCTGCTGGACAGGTGAGCTCTTAGGGTTCACAAGAAGCCACAGATTCTTTCTACAACAGATATTCCTCTCTGTTTTGTTGTTTCTGTGGAACTCAAATATTTAACATGAAAATCCATCAGGGTATCCTTGTATAAGTGGTTCATCCCTCCCTTGCACAAAAGGATAACTTACATATCACTCATGCTGAAGTAGTTTTTCTTCAGATACTTTGTGTTTTTTATTCTACTATTTATGAGTAAAAATTGAATCAGTCAAGCTGATACTATTTTAAATACTTTTACATTCCCTGTACAAGAAAAACCTTTCAGTCCAGAAATGTAAATACTTGTTATCATAAGAAATACTGTTAGAAGTACTCACCAGATCCAACCCTGCTTAGTTTCCAAGATTAGGTGTATCTAGGGTGGTATGGTCACATGCATAAAGTACTTATAGGCAGAAGGCTCTGATTTTCCTCTTGCGAGGCCAGGTTAAGAAAGGAGGTGAAATTCTGTCTCTTAAAAGACGGCTTTCTTTGTCAAAGCATCTAGCTTGTGCCTCGCAGCAGAGCTTGTTAACTTTAGTTTTATGACTAGCTCATGCACTTCCATGCTGTTGGGGAATTCTAGGTGTTGCCATACAAACAACTAACCTTTCCATGCATTTGCCCCCAGTCCAATAGCCCCCTGACCCGCCTTGAGCAGTCTCAGACTCTGATGTGCTCACAGTTCCTGGATGATGGGGAAGGGTGTGTGTGAAAAGGTGGGGGTCCAGAGTAGATTGAGTTGTCTTGCTCTTCTATACTTAGAGTGCAAACACGCTGCCCCACACAGCCCCCCCCAGCATGCACATGGGGCAGCTGCTGCTTCCTGCCGCCCCTTCAACTGCACCTGCTGACCCACTCCCTCAATCCCAGGTCCCTTGGTACTCCTGAAAGCCAACCTGATTCTTCTATCAGCTGTTGAGTGGGGTCTCCAATAAGCTGTTCATCTTATCACACCTGCTATCTCACCTGGCCTCCAATCAGCTGTTGAGTGGGGAAGCCGGATGCTTGCTCTCCCTCACACGCCTACTAACTCACCGGCCTCCGCTGCCGCTCCATCACCATAACAGGTCCTCCTGCATCTGCCCATGTGACTGGAAATCTCTGGCCAGATTGTCTAGCTGGTGGCCAGCCTGGCTGTCCCTGAGGTGCTGAAAGAAGAAAGGAAGGTGAATGACAGCGAGGCAGCAGCCAAGTCCTTTGGCTTTTCAGTTGGACAAGCAGACCAGGGTGAAGAGCCCTCTTTTGCTTGTCCACCTGCACCACAGTCTTTTGTCTGAATCCCACTCCCACTGGCCAATACCGGGACAGGAAGGGAACTCCTCTCCCCACCAGTCAATCAGAGGCAGTAGGGGAGTCTCTGGCAGCCGCTCCTCCTCACTCCACCAGACCATGTGGCTGACGCCATGCCTGTCCCAGACCCCCCGCATACACACACACACACACACACACACACACACACACACACACAAAGCCCAGGTGAGGCCTTCTTGGCAGCAACTAGGCAGCAACTAGAGGTGCCCAGGTAAGTCTGGACCCCATTTAATCATAAAAAGTACTGTTAGGAGACATTTTAAATACAATCTATAATATAAAGAATAAAAGGATGGACCCAGATTTACCTGCGGCCCGCATTGTGGGTTGGACATTCTGGCGTCCCAACATGGTGGCTCTACAGGGCAGCACTGCCTGGAACCCTGAGCGCTAGAATCCCGGTCGGATTGCCCGAGTACAATCTGATTGGCCGGCAGAGTCGGGGGTGGGGAAGACTGTTGGCTGACAGACCTGAGGGACAGAGTTTTCAGTCTGGTCCACCAGTGCAGCATAAAAGAGGAAGGGACACTGGCTGAGGGATCAGTTTGTGTTTGGTGGCACTTCCCTCCCTCATCTGCCCTATTTTCTGTTACATTAGACTGAGTTTTCATTAGCTGAGGGATGTGAAAAATATGCTGTGATGGGTTATTGGTTTCCTTTCATCTTTGCCACAGCTTTGTCGTGGTTTGAAGCACTGGGATGGATCCGGTGTGTGTGTGTGTTGGAAGACAGCAGGCAGGGATGGGGCTATGGACTGCTCTAGCTTGGGGAACAGGAGCCCGGCCTTGCCCCTGGATGGCATATTGCACTTTTAAGAAGTTTTCAGGAGAAGGACTTTGGGTGAATGTCATTCACTTAGAGCAACCAATTATTTCCCTCTGTTCCTCAAATTCTGTTTCCCACCTTTTTACCTCAGCCAGGGTCTGTCAGAGTTTTGTGTCAGTTTTAAAAATGAGTCTGTATGTTATTTTTTAGAACTGTTAGAGACAACTTAGTAATGGCAGTGTTTCCATGTTCAGAATATTTATATAACCAGTAAGCTCAATGTATCAAAGTAGTAAAGAAATGAATGCAGCCAGCAAGTTAAGATACCATAATAAATAACCAGTGTGCATGTTTTGTTTGTATTTGTAAATAAAGAGAAACATTTTTATTATTTCTGTACCAGAGTCTCTATTTAAATTCAGACTACTGTATATGCCAGTTGAAGATAATGTGAGGTAAATCTGACTAAATCCGATTCAAAGCTAACTATACCAAAAAGAGATACAGTAGTGTGTCTTTGAGGGAGATGTGTAAATTAAAATTACTAATCTGTGCCTGGACTTCTGCGTAGCTGTGGAAGTTGTCCCCCAACCTTTTTAAATCCAGCATTTCCATTTACTCTGCCCAATAGGTGGCAGGTAGCCACAGAGTGGCATATGCCTGTATGGTTTCCAAGGATCTGCCGTTCTGGGGTTGACTCCCGCTGGGATCTGGGAAGATGGTGGCTTACATTGGGTTACATTCAGGTCTCCTGATGAACTGTTTCCAGTCCTGTCACTAAGCCAGATAAAAATGCTGCTGTGGCCTTTTCCTTCCAGCCGTGTGTGTAATGTGTTTATTCTCAGGACTGGCCCTGTTAAGCCATAGGCCAACAATGTACAGTATAGCCTTAAAAAGCTGTAACACTGACACATATCAAAACTTCTCAAAGGAAGTTCTTTTACCAAAAAGAATTAAACCAGCCAGCATAAATGTCTTCAGTTGTTGTCCATGTTGCTCTCTCCTTCTCTCTTTCTTAAATGAGCTATATTTATATCATTGTCTTCAGGGAACAAACTGATCCTACTTGCAGTCCTAGTAGTCATCTGCCAATACCAGAACTGGACAAAGTGTGGCCCGAGGGCCACATACGGCCATGAGCCACTCTTGTCTGGCCCATGGACAGTTTTGAACATCAAAACCATTTATAGCTTTTTGTCTAAAGTTGATCAGTTGCTTATCTTTAACAAACCACAAAAAAACTCTTTAGTATTTGTGAAGATTAACAAATTTAAAATAAAAAAAATCATAACATCACTGTTTCATTTTATTTTTAAGTAAAGTTGGTTCGGCCCCCAAACACAGTTCAGATTTTTCATGTGGCCCCCCTATAGAAATTAATTGCCCACCCCTAGCTAATACCATAGTATTGTCGACAAAAAGGTGGCTGTATAACAGTGATTCTAAAAGAATCTCTGCAGTACTTATTGTTAATCAAAATATCTTTATCTTCCCTGAAAAGCACATTATTTTGACTTTGGTTGGTATCTTGCTGCAGTAGTATATATTAAAGAATTATTATCAGAGATGTAACCTAAAAGAGCTGTTGATCTTTATATATTTGCCATCCAAGCAGATTTGAAAAAAACAAATCTATTTTCTATAGTTGCCACTCAGGCAAACATGCCACTCATGCATACTTAAACATAAAGAAGAAAAGATGTGAGAAATATTGCTGCTCTTTAGAATAATTAGAGTAATTTCATTTCCAAAACAGTCACCTTTGATATCATGTTGGCAAGTAGGTCAGCAGGGAGGGAGCTAGCCTGCGCTTTTGCGGAAGTGAGTTCTACATCCTGGGAGCAGTTTTCAAAGAAACAGTTGTATTAATCTGTGCAATCATTAAAAAAACACAAACAAAACAAAACACTCAAATAGCATCTGGAAAAGCCTCTATCATGTCCTCACCAGGCATTGCTGTGAGGATGGTGGGACCAAGACAAAGCCTTCCCACCTCCAAAGCAGCTTAAATTGCCAAAATACAGGGATATACAATACAGTCCTTTGGATAGCCTGAATTGAAAGCTTTACAGGTCATAATACTCAGCTTATTTGGGAAATGAAATTTCGTACGCTGAGGTTCAAGTTCCAACACTGGTGGAGGAAAAAAGCCCATGAACATAGTTATGTCATGTTGAGCATGCAATTTATATAGCACAGCCATGAATATTCTTTTCCACCCTTGACTCTTGCATTTATAAAAATCCAAAGCTCTCTTTCATGCTCTGTTTGTGTCTGGAGTGTCTCTGTAAGATTCCATTCATGGGTGGATTTCGGAATAGAGAAAAAACAATGTGAGAGAAACACACCACCCATCCGCAACCAGAAGAATTCAAAGCTGGCATTCTCCTCCCTGTTTTGTTTGTTTGTTTGTTTGTTTATTTGTTTGTTTGAGTGCATTTGAAGAACTGCTTGTGCATCAGGTTACTGGATGCCTCTGTGCACAAGCTCAGAAAATGGAGAATTGTTCATGCAGTCCAGTGTTGCACAGGTGTATTGCTACATTTGGATTCAGGATAAGATGCTTATTATTATTATTCAGGGCTAAGCAAATTTTATTTTTCCTCTAGAATATAACCTCCAGAATGCCTCTGCCAGCATGGCTATTAGCTAGGCAACCTGAAGGATTTGGGGCATTGCAGTTTCCCCCACCCCAAAAAAGAAACTTGGTTAAAGTTTCCATTACATGAAAGCACAATCTTGTATTGCAAGAAATGTGTATCTATAAAGAGGTCTTCTACCTATTCAAAATCTGGGAACAGTTCTGTGTTTTCAAACCCTATGACTCATATTGATTTGTCTTTTGTAGGAAGAGTCACCCAGTTCATGAGCAGATTTTGGAAATGAGGGAGCTTACTTACTGGTACGGGATTTGCTAACATTTTCCACTGAACCATTTCCACTTTCTCCCAAGGCAAGGGCAGAACTTGTTGTGATGATAAGCTTACTTTTAAAATAAACTCAGACTTTTAAAAAGAAAAGTATTGCATTTGGAGTTTATGAAAATATCAGCAAAAATGAGTTTATCTTTTCTAGGATCAAATTTAATCCTAATGGGAATACACATTTCTCTCTGACTAACAAGTTTATCCTCCTGAAGCAAGATATATGCTTCAGCAATCAGACTTACTAATTAAGTCCGTGTTTACCTTCCAGTGACCAACTGCAACAGAAAGAACATTTAAAAAACTTACATAGGTAAGGAAAATCACTTGCTCAAAAAAAGAAAAACAGATGTCTTTCATCATTTCTAAAAATGTGCTAAATGTGCTATTGTCTGGTTTGATCTTCAGTTTTTGTCATCTGGAGAAAATCACAATTGTTAAATTATTTTCCCTTTTCTGTTTCAAATTATCCGCAGAATATTTTATTGTTGTTTTGACCACTTTACAAATAGTGATATATATATACATGAACAGGGTGCCAGTTTAACAAACTCAATGCTAGCAGAGTAAAAAGAACAAATACAAATATGCACATTCACCAAAGTGCTGAGTTAAAAACAAAATACAAAAAGATTAGAATGCATACATAATTTCAATTTTTTTTTAAAAAAATAAATTATTACAATTAATCATGTGCATCAGAAAATCCCGCCTTAACGTCTTGGTAGCCAATGCAAATCTCGCCACTGTATCTGTTACTGCCTTGCTAACTTTAGATAACAAATAGATTATTTTATTAGCGTGATTTTTATCCCATATATCCTATAGCAGAATTGCTATAAGCTTTTTCCTAGGTTTGGTATATAAGGAGCAGTGCTCCACATATAGAAAAACTCTGTGATAAATAATAAGTTAACTTGTAACTTAAAGGTTAAGAAAGGAGAGATGAAAAAGAATAATTTATATGATATATGGGGCAGATTTCTTGAATATGTGCTAACAAGAGGAAAAGGGAAAGCTCCAAATCAAGAATCAATGCAGTTCTGGAGAAGAGGACAATAAAGGAAGAAGAATAAAGATAGAGGGAAAAGAGGATTACTGCAAAATGTCCTGACTGTGGTGATGGGGAACACAGTGAATTTGTATTTTGGTTTAT